GAGGCCCCCAATACCCCCGAGTGTGGAGCCCCAACTCGGCTTACTTTTCGAGCTACAGCCGGTCAAAGTTGAAACTTTAAAGGGCCGTATCTCCGGAACCAAGCCGAGTTGGGGCCCCATACACCCGGCGTGGGGGGCCCTCTTAGAGGCCCCCAATACCCCCGAGTGTGGAGCCCCAACTCGGCTTACTTTTCGAGTTACAGCCGGTCAAAGTTGAAAATTTAAAGGGCCATATCTCCGGAACCAAGCCGAGTTGGGGCCCCATACACCCGGCGTGGGGGGCCCTCCTAGAGGCCCCCAATACCCCCGAGTGTGGAGCCCCAACTCGGCTTACTTTTCGAGCTACAGCCGGTCAAAGTTGAAACTTTAAAGGGCCGTATCTCCGGAACCAAGCCGAGTTGGGGCCCCATACACCCGGCGTGGGGGGCCCTCCTAGAGGCCCCCAATACCCCCGAGTGTGGAGCCCCAACTCGGCTTACTTTTCGAGTTACACCCGGTCAAAGCTGGACAGGAAGTGGCCGTATCTCGGGACCGGAAGGTCCCCGTGGCCCGGGACGGCGGGAGGAGCAAGGTCCCCGAGAGCGGGCCCCGCACCCGCCGCCGCGAGCCGCTGGGACCTCCCGGTCCCGAGATGGGCCCCGTTACGCGCGGGCGACTTTCGGAGAAAACGGCCCGTATCTCGGAGAGGGGAGGTCCCAGCGGCTCGCCCTTTCGGGTGTCGGGGGCTCCCCACGGGCCCTCTCGGACCCCGCCTCCCCCGGGCCCCTGGGACCTTTCCTTCCCAGGCGCCCCCCCGACACGTCGGGCCCCTTTTCTCCGGGACCCGGGGGCCCCGGGGCTCGGGGGCGGGCTCTTTGCGAGGGGCCCGCCGGGACGCCACACTTGACCCGAGTCCGGTGTCTCTGGGCCCCCGGGTCCCCGAGCTACGGGCGTTCGAATTCGGGGCCCGAAAATCCCTCAAAGTCCGAAAACGTGCAGTGGGCGGGGACTTCCGGGGGCCCCGGAGGCTCTGACGGCACACCCAGGGAGGTGCACCGTCCTCGGGCACGGCCAGGTGGCCCCCCCGGGGTCCTGGAAGTCCCCCCGCCCCCCGGAGACACCCACACCCACACCCACCCACCCACCGGACGGGAAGATTCCGTTTTTCGCCGATATCTCGAAGACGGCCGGGCGAAAAAATTTCAAACTCGGGTCTTCCGTAGGCCTCGAGGGGCCCTATCCAAAGAGGCCACCCGCGTCCCCGGGGGCCTCGGGGTCAGGGAGTTAGGCCCGGTCAAAGGCGCGGCGTTTTTTGGCTTATATCTCGCGAACCCCTGGGCCAATCTTCCCCAAACTCGAATCGACCGTAGTGCCGGACGGGGCCTTTCGAAAGAGCCCACCCACGAGGTCCAACTCGCCCGGGTCCCCGAGTTATAGCCGTTCAAAGTCGGGGGTCCCGGCGAACGGCGATCCGGTAGGGGGCGTCCCCGGGGCCCGCCGCCGCCCTGGTTCGAGCGAGGGCCCCCGTGGGACCTCGCCACCCAAATTTGAGCTCTCTGGGCCTTCGCGTCGCGGAGATACGGGCGATTTTCTCCCGGGATCGTGACGTCATCGGCGGGCGCCATTTCAGAGCGCGGCCGAGGGTTTTCGGCCGATATCTCCGCGAATACTCGACCAAAAACGACGAAACGCATATGGACGCGTTCAGCTCGGCGAGACGGTTCGAATGAGCCCGGCCTCGGCCGGGCACGTCGAGTTCTCGGCGAGATATTTGCGTTTTTCCGCTTCCGGGGCGCTTTGGGGGCCCGTATCTCGGGCCCCCGGGGGCCCACGGGGCTGGGGGCGGTCTCATTCGAAAGGTCTCGTCCCGTTCTCCAGCCGATAAAAATTTGGCGTCGATCGGAGCCGCCTTCGGCGAGCTACGGTCGTTTGAAGCCCCGTGCGGTGGGGTTACCGTCCTTCAAACAGCCGCCGCTCGCAGGGGGAGTCCCGGGGAGGCATGGTTGCCTGTATGACTTGGGCTTAGAGCACCCAGCCCCGCGCTCCTGGAGGAACCTCCGGTGCACAGGGTCTGCTGCAACCAGCCACGTGGGTTTTGAGGGGTAGGGGAGCGTGCGCTCTCCTCCCCGGGCGGGCGGCCGGGCCCTGGGGGCTCGCGCCTCCACGGAGGGACCTCGCTCCCGGGGCTTCGTCCCCGGGGCTCGGGGACTCCGTGGCGGCTCGGCCCCCGGGGTTCGACCCCGCTCGCTCGCTCCAAAACCCAAGTCCAAAACGTGGGGTTGCACGGGAGCTCCGGGCGCAACGGGTCTCCACGCACGGCCCCGGGGAGGGAGCTCCGACCCGGGCCGGAGGCAGATTCGCCCCCCGCCCCCCGGCTGTCCGCCCGGAGCCGAGACGGTCCTAAAACGGGCCTTGGGGGTGATGTAGAAGGGTAACGCTCACCCAACCAGGACTCACACAAACCGATCTGCATCCCAGGCAGGGTGCGGGTCTCCTGGGCACGAATAAAGCCCGATGCCCCGTGGGTGATGTTGGCCCTGGCCACTCAAGGCACTCACCCAAGCCAGAGAGGGTGCACTCTGGCTGGGGAAGCAGATTCAATCTCTGCTGTGGTGGAGCTCTGGAAAAACGCGAAACCTCCAGGAAAAGACGGCCCGATTTCTCTGAAAAGTGCATCCCAGGCAGGGTGCGGGTCTCCTGGGCACGAATAAAGCCCGATGCCCCGTGGGTGATTTTGGCCCTGGCCACTCAAGGCACTCACCCAAGCCAGAGAGGGTGCACTCTGGCTGGGGAAGCAGATTCAATCTCTGCTGTGGTGGAGCTCTGGAAAAACGCGAAACCTCCAGGAAAAGACGGCCCGATTTCTCTGAAAAGTGCATCCCAGGCAGGGTGCGGGTCTCCTGGGCACGAATAAAGCCCGATGCCCCGTGGGTGATTTTGGCCCTGGCCACTCAAGGCACTCACCCAAGCCAGAGAGGGTGCACTCTGGCTGGGGAAGCAGATTCAATCTCTGCTGTGGTGGAGCTCTGGAAAAACGCGAAACCTCCAGGAAAAGACGGCCCGATTTCTCTGAAAAGTGCATCCCAGGCAGGGTGCGGGTCTCATGGGCACGAATAAAGCCCGATGCCCGTGGGTGATGTTGGCCCTGGCCACTCAAGGCACTCACCCAAGCCAGAGAGGGTGCACTCTGGCTGGGGAAGCAGATTCAATCTCTGCTGTGGTGGAGCTCTGGAAAAACGCGAAACCTCCAGGAAAAGACGGCCCGGTTTCTCTGAAAAGTGCATCCCAGGCAGGGTGCGGGTCTCATGGGCACGAATAAAGCCCGATGCCCGTGGGTGATGTTGGCCCTGGCCACTCAAGGCACTCACCCAAGCCAGAGAGGGTGCACTCTGGCTGGGGAAGCAGATTCAATCTCTGCTGTGGTGGAGCTCTGAAAAAAAAAAAACGCGAAACCTCCAGGAAAAGACGGCCCGGTTTCTCTGAAAAGTGCATCCCAGGCAGGGTGCGGGTCTCATGGGCACGAATAAAGCCCGATGCCCGTGGGTGATGTTGGCCCTGGCCACTCAAGGCACTCACCCAAGCCAGAGAGGGTGCACTCTGGCTGGGGAAGCAGATTCAATCTCTGCTGTGGTGGAGCTCTGAAAAAAAAAACGCGAAACCTCCAGGAAAAGACGGCCCGATTTCTCTGAAAAGTGCATCCCAGGCAGAGTGCGGGGTCTCCTGGGCACGAATAAAGCCCGATGCCCACCTTGAAACGGAGCCTGGGCTCGACTCTGAAGTCCAGATCTCGAAAAACGACAGAGTCCAAAAAGGTGCGGTGGCTCCAAACCTCCATGCCCTCAGACCTCCCTGGCCAGCCCAGGGAGGGTGGCCCGTCCTGGGCCAGACTCAGATTTCCCCCGCCACCCCTGGAGCTCCGCCTGGAGCGAAGACGGTCCTAAAACGGACCATGGGGCTCTTGTAGAGGATGAGGGAGGGAGAGAGGGGCCTTCAGAGAGCCCCTTGGCCGGCTTGACTCTGGAGTCGAATTTGGAAAAATAGACAAAGTCCATAAACGTGCTGTTGGTTCGGACCTCCAGGGCACTCAAGGCACTCACCCAAGCCAGAGAGGGTGCACTCTGGCTGGGGAAGAGGATTCAATCTCTGCTGTGGTGGAGCTCTGAAAAACACGAGAACCTCCAGGAAAAGGCGGCCCGGTTTCTCTGAAAAGTGCATCCCAGGCAGGGTGCGGGTCTCCTGGGCAAGAACGAAGCCCAATGCCCACCTTGAAACGGAGCCTGGGCTCGACTCTGAAGCCCAGATCTCGAAAAACGACAGAGTACAAAAAATGTGCGGTGGCTCCAAACCTCCATGCCCTCAGACCTCCCTGGCCAGCCCAGGGAGGGTGGCCCGTCCTGGGCCAGATTCAGATTCGCCCGCCACCCCTGGAGCTCCGCCTGGAGCGAAGACGGTCCTAAAACGGGCCTTCGGGGATGTATGAGAGAGGGGAAGCGTGGTGGTGGCAAACACAGAGGACCCCCTACCAGCGATCAGACCGTCGTGAGTCCCACTCAGAGTCACTCTGGGTGGGCATGTAAAAATCCAGATTACGCCGCGCTGGAGCTCTGGAAGTTACGAGACCTCCAGGAAAAGACAGGCTGGTTTTCTGAAAAGTGCACCCCAGGCAGGGTGCATCTTTTCCTGGGCACGAGCCCAGCGCACATGGTGTGGTGGTCCGGCTCTGGTGCCAAAGTTTGGGGGAAAAAATAGACAAAGTCCAATAACGTGGTGTGGTTCCAAAGCTCCATGCCCTCAGACCTCCCTGGCCAGCCCAGGGAGGGTGGCCCGTCCTGGGCCAGATTCAGATTTGCCCGCCACCCCTGGAGCTCCACCTGGAGCGAAGACGGTCCTAAAACGGGCCTTCGGGGATGTATGAGAGAGGGGAAGCGTGGTGGTGGCAAACACAGAGGACCCCTACCAGCGATCAGACCGTCGTGAGTCCCACTCAGACTCACTCTGGGTGGGCATATAAAATCCAGACTACGCCCCGTCGGAGCTCTGGAAGTACGAGACCTCCAGGAAAAGACGGGCCGGTTTTCTGAAAAGTGCACCCCAGGCATATGCTCTGTCGAACGGCACGGTCTGGGTAAACGGCGAGTGTCCGTGCTGTTGCGTGCGAACGAGATTCCCAATGCTAACGAACCTCCCCGGCTGGCGACCGGGAGAGCGCCTCGTTTTCGGGCACGAGCGAATGCGTCTGCCTGGCGGAGCCCCCGTCGGTGCCGAGGTGGTCCTGAGACGGGCCTTCGGGGTTTTGTCGAGGAAGGGGACAAGCGCCCCAATCGGACAAGGCGACGGGCTAAAAAATGGTGCTCGGTATCGGTTTCTGACATCCAGGGGGGGGATGCGTCATCTGGGGTCGGCAGGCAGGCGGTAACCAGGGCGCTCTGGAGGAAAAGGCCCCCCTCTGGAAAAAAAGGACAGAGTCCGTAAACGTGAAGTCGAAAGAGTTCCCCAGGGCCGGCCCGTCTCCATGGCCGGTGACCTGGGTGGGTGCCTCGGACCCGGGGCGAGACGGTATCGGTGGGCGTGAACGGAGCACCCGTCGGTGCCGAGACGGTCCTAAAACGGGCCTTCGGGGTTTTGTCGAGGAAGGGGACGAGAGCCCCGCTCGGACAAGGTGACGGACCAAAAAAAGAGCGTTGCTCGGTATCGGTTTCCGACATCCTGGGGAGGATGCGTCGTCTGGGGTCGGCAGGCAGGCGGTAACCAGGGCGCTCTGGAGGAAAAGGCCCCCTCCGGAAAAAGGGACAGAGTCCCTAAACGTGAAGTCGAAAGAGTTTACCAGGACGGCCCGCCTCCCGGGCCGGTCACCCGGGAGGGCGCTTCGTGCCCGGGGCGAGACGGTATCGGTGGGCGCGGCGGAGCTTCCGTCGGTGCCAAGACGGTCCTAAAACGGGCCTTCGGGGTTTTGTCGAGGAGGGACAAACGCCCCGCTCGGACAAGGTAACGGATCTCCGTGTGACGGGCGCCTCCGGGTTGCCCACCCCCGGGCCCGAGAGGAGCGCACCCCCTCCTCCCGGGCCGTCGACGCGAGGGGTGTTTAGCCTGATCGATTGGAACTTCGGACGCGCCTGGGGACGGCCCCTGCCCGGTCGAGAGACCGCTATGGGCAGCTCGCTCCTCCCCGCTCTGCGCGTCGACTCTAGACGCGGCCTCCCTCCGGGGAAAGCAGGCCGCGTCGACCTCGGGAGACTCAGAAGACCCGTCTGAAACGAACGTCCGCCACGGCGGGCGGAGGACGCGGTCGCGTCGGTCGGATCGGACGGCGAGCGGATCGGGGGGCTCGACACATCCCCCCACCCTCCCAGTCTTCGAGCCGGCTCTTCGCACCCGCGCCTCCCCCGCCCGAAAGGCACCCTTTCCCGGTTACGGCCTCGACCCAGCGGCCACACCTTCTCCCCCCCCCCAGAGAGAGAGGAGGGTTCCGCACGCGCCCCCTATGAGCGGCCGCGCCGTCCCCGAGCCCCCGGCCCGCCGACCCGGGCCGCACTCGAGGCGGAGCGAGACCCGTGTGTAGGAAGCCAGCGTGTTCGCGGTTCTCCTTCCCCCCCTACAGGGCGGTTTACCTGGTTGATCCTGCCAG